GTGTAAAGAATATTAAAACTTTAAAAGTGTAGAAAAATCAAACAATCCCTTGAAACTTAATATTTAAATTCAGGGTGTTAAAACAATAAAATTATAAATTTTGTGGAATTATCAGGGCTCAGAAACTGAACTGGGCCAATTTTTCACTATTGTCGTATTTAAAGAATTATTTGACAAAATATCTTGAAATTTAATACTTAAGTTCTCTTTGCTACCGGAACTTGGGGGAATTCGGAGAACATAAATCTTTACTAAGAGGCAAATATGCGTTTTTTTAGGTATGTTAACAAAAAGTTTACTAGCATCTTTGCTTTGCATAAAATTCGAGGGAAGTGTTTAGTGGACATTTTGATAAGGTTATGTGCAACATTTTCGCTAAACTAGACAATACATTTATTGTAACAATTGTAATAATTTTTTAACTTCGACAGTTTGTATCACGCTGAAATTTTGTTTATTTCATATATTTATGTCTGTTTTTTTTTCTATTGCAAAAATTTTTTACTACTTTTTGTTTGACCTACTTTTATAACGAAAATTTATATAAAAATCACACACAACACCGCAATATGTATATTTTAAAATATCGAAATTTTTGAATATACATACGTGTATGTAACGTATATATGTATTAAGTACAATTTCAATAAATTTTGAAATTTGTTCAGATTGAGAATATTCCTGTTTCATATTTTTCTCAGAATTTTATAGCATATGTATACATACATACAGTATGATATTTTAATAAAGTACAGAAATTTTAAGTACAAAAGCAGCACCGCTATATAATAGAAATACATGTAGAAACAAAAATTTCTGACTTGATTCTAAAATATTCGTATGATAAGAATAATGACCTGATCCAGAAAAAAACTGGCGAGACAACAATTGAAAACTGTATAAATTACTTTTTTTTTATACACCATTTCAAGACATTTACACAAATTAGTTTAGATAGGGAATATTGAACTTTGAAATATAACTAGCTTATACAATGACTCGAAATAATTTATTATACTGTTATACAAAAATTGTTCAATATGCATTACAACTCTATATATCTAGTGTCATATTATTCGAAAAATATGTAAATTTTGATTATGTAGCATCATATAAACGAAATAGTAAATTCACAATAGCCTTCAAATATACCCGGTGTAATAATTTTAAAATGAAAGGTGAAAAGCAGAAAAATTCAGGAAAATTTTTTATTCCCCTCAATGATAGCATTTTGTGGTTTGTTTTACTATATGTGGTTTAAAATCATAAAATTCACAGATTTATTTAAATATGGTGTATGTTTATATTATGAGTATTATAAAGGAGAAAATTTTAATTCAAGAGTGCAAGCATGATTTCTCCAAATTCATAATCATAATATTTTTACATGTATAATATGTGTAAGGCGTACAATGAAATGACAGCAATAGTCCTTTATTGATGAAATATTGTTAAGGATTTGATATATTAATATTATCCAACTTATTTGATTTACAACAAATTCCGCGTATAAAAGTACTCATTGTTCAACTCAATAAAATCAAAGGTTCTATTGTGAATTGTGTAGTACATTTGCTTAAATAAGCAAGTTAATGACACCAATTTCCTCTTTATCTTATTTTTCGGTAGTTTAACAATTTGTATAGACAGTTTACATTACAGATTCAAAACAATTTTGTTTTTACTTTAAACTACTTTAATTTACATACATACATATAATATTTATTCTATTATAACTTTATATTTCATTATATTCCTTAATAACTTTAATCTTTAATAAATTTTTATCCTTTTTATGCAGATTAATTATTATATCACAAATTACCATACAATGCCAAATTACTTTAATAATCTGTTTTAATTATGTTATAGTTGAACACATTAAAGCCTCTTAAAAAGGTTGAATACAAAGGTAAAATTTTAATGTAGGAGATATACGGCTCCATACGTATATAACGTTCATATACATCATTTAGCTGGTTTGAGCATACAAAACTTCATTGAATATACAAATATAAAATAAGTATACAAAATTGTTTTTATACCTATCACATTGAAAACTCTGGTCATTAACGGTGTAGAAATTAAACGTTTTTCAGAAATTCTAGCTTTAAGGCCTCATAACACGAGAAGAAGGATCGAAAAAACAAAATGTCTTTTTACGTGTTTTTTGTTCGTTTATATGCAAGCTATCAAACTGCTTTGGGAGTATACCATATTGAGTCTCAGATACTCTGCAGTAGAACTTATACTTTTATATTTCGGGGACCTTGATTCAAATTAGAATAAGAAAAATTTTTATTGTACTTTTTTATAAAATTTCGAAATTGAAATATTTTATGATTCGCCTCAATCCAAATCCTAAATAGTGGTTATTATCCATTACATAAGCTCTCTTTTTTAGCACTTTTCTAAAAAATTTAAAAAAAAAAAGTGCTTATTTAAATGTGCCGTAGAGTTAGTAGGTACAGCAAAAATTTATGAGCAAACACTGGGTGAAATAATTTTTTGTATTTAAAAGAGATCTCCCTCTCCCTCTCTCTAAATTTTTTTTAATTTATTCAATATTTGTATACATATATGTATGTGTAGTAATATTTAAACACATCGTTTATAGTATATTTGCTTATAATTTGATTAACATACTCGTACATACTTATTATGTTTCATACACACATAGTGGAATTTGTTTAGTCCCACTATAATAATAAGCTTTTTTTTTAAGTTTTATCCTTTCTAAAAGAAAATTTATATATACATACACATAAATATTTAATTCTTTAAATAAAAAATTGTTTTTTGGGTTTTTTGCCAATTTATGAACATTAAAAGTTGGTTTTAACTTTTAATGTTCATTTTAGAGGCATTATTTACATATGTATATGATAAAGGGTGATTTTTTTAGGTTTGGGTTTGTTTAGGTGTGTCGCAGCCTGAAATATACTTTCAAAGAATTAATATTTTTACAATTATTCTGATTAGGGTGGTGAGAAGTTAATTTCATGTTTAAAATGTGTCAATTGACCGCCGACACTATGAACCATTTAAATTTACATTTAAAAATCACGCATTATAATTATATTTATTATAATATTTAAGTACATATATAAAGAGTATGTGTATAAATACTATTTTAGGAAAATTAATAGAAAAAAAATTTTTTTTTTCTTTAGCACATTTTAGTTGAGAACTATCAAAATTAGTATTTTGTAATTCTCAAAATATTTAAAAATATGTCCGTTCAACCATAAGGCAAATATTAATATGTACACAATGTTTTGGTATTTATTATATTTGATTAATGATAAGCTACAAAATAAAAGCTATAAATAATGTAGATGTTAAGCGTTGCCATACCATTCCAGCTTACGATCTCTTTCTCTCCAGCTTCAATTAAATTTCAATTTGATTTCCCCGAAATATTGAAACTCCAAATAGTTACATTTTTCTTTTAATATCTTAAATCAAAATATTCCTTAAAAAAACTCATTATATGAACTCTATAATCTAACTCTCATTATGTAAAAACATGTCTTTTTATACAAATCCCATACTTTCTTTAAAATTGAATGTGCTTTATATCATTTGATTTTTTCGATCTTTTTACCGACCGCATTGCATACAATAAGGGAGGTTATGTGATGGCATAAAAATTCGTGTTTTAGGTCGAAAATATCGTGTTTTCGGTCAGAATAGACTTCTAGATGGTATGGAAGCCTATGACCTGGTTTTAATTTTTTTTTTTCATATCTAAGGAACTTATTGACGGAATATGTTTAAATTTTATATTTGAATTCAGTTTACTACCGAAACTAATAAAAGTCAAATTCACATTTTCCTAGGTTTGTTAACTAAAAGTTTACTATCGTCCTCAAAAATTTTGAAGAAGTCCGTTTTCATAATCTTGTGCAATATTTTCGCTAAATTCGGCAATAAACCTTTGACTCGGTTATATGCTGGTCACATCAATTTTTTTTTAAATGTATTGACAATCTTAGGAATGTGAAAGTTATGTATTTTTTATTTTAAAAACGTTTGTAAAATTAAAATAAAAACTTAGCAAAAAAATTAAATAATATAAAAAAATAAGAAAAAGAAAAAAATGACAAAAGCGCTCTAATTAAGTTTTATTTAGGAAATACAAAAAAAATTGCACAAAAAAATAATTTTATATTTTTAGAATGAAAAGTGGAAAAATACTTTTTAGTTTTTTAATTCCATGAAATTAGTTTAAATTTAATGAGAGTTGAATTACATTCCGCAAAGAGATATTTGAATGTTGAAGAAAAATTAAAGTAATGAAATGAGTAGTAAAACTATTGAGCATTTAAAGTATGTACTTATAATGAAGTATATATGATGTTAAGGGAGAGAGAGAAAGAGATAGATGGAGAGAAGAAGAGAAATTTAAATTTTAAAATAATAACATTATTATGAAAATTAAGGAAATTTAAATTTCACCATTTTAGAATATTCACTATTCACAATACATAATTAAAAAACTTATTTGAAATATTGGAAATTTTATATGATTTCAAAGTTATCAGATTATTCAAAAATTAAGGAAGCCATTTCAAAGTTTAAGGAAGCGATTAAAAGTTTTAAAAAATAAAGATTTTCATTTATTTCTTGACGATGATCATGTTATCGATTATTTTTTATAATTATTATAACAATTAAAATTTAATAATGTTGAAAATAATTATTGCAATTGATTTAAAATCAAAGTTTTTCTATTAAAATTAATTTGTATCCGATTTCTTATCCAAATTAGAAAATTAATTTAACATATAGGGTAAAAGATTATTGAGAGGAAAGACTAGTTAAGGTTTTAAGATGCTATTGGAGTTTAGAGAATATTTGAAAATAATTAAGATCGTATTTTTTCTGTTAATAATTTATTTTACATTTATATACCGTTTGTTTAAAAATGGACTGTTTAAATTTTACATTGACTTATTAAATACCCAATATTAATTTGTATTATATTTTAATTTTAGGTAACAACAGCGACTGATTTAGGAAAAATTGTTACACGTTTACAATTGGAAAGATCAGATGTTGCTATATTTATTTTTACAAATGGAAATACATCAAGGTATTTACTATATTATTCATATTAAATTAAGATCAAACCATTAATTTGAGTACAACTTCTTAAAAAACAATTTCAGATCGTAAAATTTTATTCTTTGATTTTACGATATTATAACATACAATTAATAAAAATATAACATTTTTTTTTTGTTTTAGAGTTAATTTAACAGAACGTTTTATGATAACCGATGAAGCATTAGATAATATCGATATATGGGGTGGTGAAGTTAGTGTACCAACATCACTTGAAGATGATAATACTATGGAAGTTATGTTAAATAGAAGTGAATTTCAAAATAAATTAAATAATTTTAGGTAATATATAATTAAAATTGTATATAACACAAAGAAATTAATGATATATGTATAACACTTAAAACTGGTTTTATGAATTTATAATCACTAAATACATGGTTCGTTTTCCTTATACAAAATCCTAACAACAAAATTCTTTAAAGTATAATTTAAATTTTAAATAATAAATATTGTTGTTTTCTGATAATAAATTGTTATACAAGTGTGTCAATAGTCACAATCATTTTAACACTTAATATGGTCTCATATCATTAACTTTTAATACACGATTGATCATTAAATACTTACATACGTATATTATATTCATTGTTAATTCATTTGAAGTTAAATGACACATAGGACATAATATATGTAGTATGCTTCCCTGTCATCAACAGAGTGATCAAATGTTTTTTATTTATTTATCCTTTCTTTTGTACTATATTCCCCATTATATAAGAGATTGAACTCAATGAAAAACACAGTAAATTTTATTTTCTCTCTTTTTGTTATTTAGGGAAAAAATAAGCAGTGAAGAGAGCAGTATTACAGAAGTTATGGAATGGTATACGGCTATTAATAGAGCACTCTTAACACATATGACTAAACAAATTAAAGAAACTGATAATAGTGGTGTTTGGAGGTAAATTTTTTTTTTGAAATATCAGATTTTAACCAACTCTATTATTATTGGTTTTACAAATAATTATTTTATTAATATCAATTTGTTTATATAGATATTTAGTTGGATTTAAAAATCTTTTAAAAAGTATTGAATGTCAAGCAATTGCATCATCATATGGAATTAAATATTATGGACGTGGAAAACTTGGTACCGAAGCATATGTTTCTTTTATACGATATGATTTTTTAGCTAAAGAATTATTAAATTCAACAATGAATTATGTACCATCATTAAAAAATATGTATAAAAATTTAACAATAGATGTAGATAGTTTTAGAATGGTAAAAAATTGGAGTGCAATTATATTAAAAAATTCAAAAATTGAACCAGTTTTAAATGATGCAATAAATTATTATTATTTAATGCAAAATTATATGGAAGAATTAAGGAAATTACAAAAAGTTTTAAGGGAAAAGATCAGGTTAGAAAATTTTTTAATATTTTAATTTTTTTTAATTTTAATCAAAACATATGTAATAAAAATAATTTGGCATGATTAGTGTTTAGTTTATAGATTGTAATAATTGCATAACGAAATGCCCACTACCAAGAATCCGACAAAGCTCTTCTTTCTCTTATGGATCAACGTTCCACACTCATTTAGAATGTACATCGGAGTTTCTTTTCCTTCCGCCGAGTACTTGCAAGACCCTACAGTCCCTAAGCCCAGTTTGGTTGGATGTTTCTTAAAGCTGCAATGTCCCATCAGGAGACCTGCGAGAATTTGTCGACATCCTTTTGATCGCCTTAAAGAGCTACCGACTGTAATTTCCCAAAGGTCTTTTATATGCTGAAGCCCCGGACGTATCATCCATAGCACAACCCTTTTCTCCTCCACTTCACTATTGTTCGAAGATGCTTGGTACTTTCATACTTTTGATTAGTGTTTATGTGCAGAGCTTTTTTTAAAAATTTCAAAAATTAATCTTACATTTTACTCGGTTCAGATTTCCCAAATTTTCTCTTGTTCCTATATATTCAGTTATTTAAATATAAGCACGTTTTCAATATATTTCATTATTAATTTAAAATTTTGTTCGAAATCTATAATAATTTTTTATAATTATTTAAAAAATTAAAATAGCAATACATAAACACAATAATCTTACGCTTGTGTCTACTTTCATTGTTATACATTTACACTGTCGTCTTCAGAGCTATAGTCATATATAGTAGATATTGTTGCCATAATTCATGTCATTTTCATATTATACTTTAAATTTTAAATACCATATAATAAATTATACCGTTAATATTTTTTTCATATCATATGCATGCATTTCTTATATACATACATAAGAACTCTTTTCATAGAATCCAATATATTTATTATAGAAGAGCACTTCAATTCACTTATATTTATCCTTTTCTTATTTATTTTTTTTTCTCTTTCTCTCTTTCAATATTTTCTAATATATAGAGTTTATGTTGATGAAACCCTCACTGACGCCAGTAATAAAGAAGCTGTCGGAATTGCAATTTTGATTGTAGTACTCTGTGTATCACCTATAATTATAGTTTTAGTTAAAAATGCAGCTGCAACGATACAGGTAACATAATATATTTAAAATTTAAAAAAAAAACACATCACGCTATGCATTTAAAATTAAGTTACACACAATAATGTCGGAAAAACATAAAATTAGAAAAAAAAAATTAAAATGAAAACAATTTATTTTTTATGAATTGAAGGTTTTTTTTCATGGTTGGTCCAGTTTAATATGGGATTATTTTTGTGGGACGACCATGAAATAAAAAAAAAGCGGTAATTGACTAAGAAGAGATCAGAAACACAGTATAGATTTTCTCTGTATTATAAACGAGAAACAACTTTCGGTTTTAATTTTGGAAACAACCATTGCTTTCAATTTGAAATTGTTACTGTTTTGAAAGTGTAAATTAAAAGCAAATACTATGCTTTTATCGATTCAATTTGGAAGTCGCAAGAGTATCGAAATATCATTGTCCAGAAAAAATTATAGAGAATAAAAATAATTTAAAACTCTTGTTTAAACTCATATGAAATGTAACAGGAGTAAAAATTTTTGCTATGACACCCAAGTTGCAAATAAAGCACTGATAAATATAGGAATGTCGCATAATTCGAGCTGTAAACCAAAATTACAACTCGGATTATGTGACATTAAAACAATGCCCATATACACATTAACTGAATTGCATTAATTGAAATGGTAAAAATCAAATCAGAAACAATTCAGGACATAAGATATAAAAAGCTTTTGGTTAACTAAAACTATTACTCTTGAATTTATTAGACATCCAGATTTGTTTGGAGTGAAATATGTAATATGGAATTGGGCTTAAAATATATAAGATTAATCATATTTCCTTGAAATTTTGTATCCAGATGACAGCTTTGAACAATTTCACATTTACATAAAATACAAAATATAATGACTATGTCGACTTAGATATATTGTTATTATAAGTATAAGTTCAATTCCAAACATTCTTAGAAACAGAGAAAAAGGGGCAAAAATATATTAGAATATTCAAATCGTTGAGTTTCTAGAAAAAAAAAATCTCGAAGAAAAATATTAAAACTTATAAAATGCACATACAAATTGCGAACTAGATGATGTGCTTTCTTCCTTTTTTGTTTATCCTTCGCAGGATATGCATTGCATATACATTTTATAAAGTGTTTTTTTTTTATTTTAGTATTTTTCCAAAATATTGGTGCTTATATAAATTTTGTATTCAACTAACTTAACCTACATTATCCCTTACTTTCTTATAAGAATTGAATTTGAATTAAAATTAAAGAAAAAAAAACAAAAAAAAAATTTACATAATATTTTAGAGTTGCCACTATAATTCACTAATAAGCAAATCTAGTTAAGCATATAGTGACAATTAATAAAAATTGAACATAATTTTTGGCTAAAAATTTTCTAAAAAAAAAAATATAATTCGTCAATATAATTTGGACATAAAATTATGTTAAAGTAGATGGCCAATTGAAAAGCGTTAATAAAAATATTAAAACTTCGTGATTATTTTATTAATTCTAATCTGCTTTATTGCTTATAAAGTAGACATGTCGTACCCATTAAGATATAGTGTACGATAGTAGATAATATGGTTAATTATGTAGAAATTAAATTTTAAGCGTTTTACAATGAATTTTGATTTTTCGTTTGAAATAAAGCACTATTTTTGGTTATCTCCGATTTCGAACGGCCGAAATGAATAGTATAAAAGCAAAAGCAAAAAATTAGATTTTATACAGTCGAAATTTGAAAAGTTTCCATAAAGAATTTTATTAAATTTGAGAAGACAATACAAAAAAAAAATATTTTCAAAATGCGTTTAATTTTATTATTGGGATTCTTAGTTCTTATAACCGCAGTTGTTTGCGAATTGCCTTTCGATGAGATAAAGGACATTAACAGTTTTACCTATGCAGAAATTGACGAAGTAGTAGCCGTTGAAGAATCTAAAGAAAACTCATTTAATTGGAAATGTCATATCATTTGTACACTACAATGCCGTCAGAGAGGTTATAAGGCTGGTGCCTGTGTTGGAAGGTATTGCGTTTGTGTTAAATAAAACGGATGACGATTGTTAGAAGTTCTTATATTTAATAATTTATAAAATAAAATTGTAATTAAATTAAAATAAATTGATGTAAAAAAGTAAAATTATTTCTTTTATTTGTTTGCGCGAATGCACAAATCTAGGAGTTGTACGATAACTAGTACATGAACTCATGCAACCTATTGTTTTTAAATTACAATCTTGTTATTGTCATTGTTATTAGTGTTAAACATTATTACTACAGCTTCAGTATTATCTAAAATACGATTCAACAATTTTTGATATAATCAAAATAATGGACTAATTACTCTCCATTACTTTTGAAGTTATTTAGCAACTAATAAAATGATTCAGGGATTCTAAATTTGTTTTAACAAAAACTAAAGCATTATCATTATATTCATTTGACCAAGCTATAATCTAGATTGTTTCAGAGCTAAACAATTTTTGAAATCGCAGACCAGGTATACGGAAACTGTGGTGTCATTCAAAACAAAAACAATTCTGGCATTTACCATTATAATAAATTTTTTATACCATATAGCTTTCATACAATTATAGAAACACGAATCTCAACTTTCTTAAATTCACTTTGTAATTGCCACGCATACGAGTAATACTTCTATATTTAGCAAATATTTAATTATTCTAAACTAAAATTGAACTTTTTTTTTTATTAATATTAAAAATAATATGGTAACCTCATAAAATTTTTACAGTGATACATTATGTAAAGTAATGTTGCATCTTATTAAGAAAATTCTAAGAATGTCCTTGCTTTCCGTAAACAAAGATATTGTATCACATTAATATTTTATTGTACATGTTTTGTTGTAATTTGTTCTTCAATAAAAATTTTCCAATTTCGTATGCAATTTTCTTTAGATTCTACTCTGCAATTCTAATACAATCCTAATTTTGCATACTTTATTATGTGCATGCTTATATGAAAGTACGTATACATATGTAAGTACATCTGTGAACCTATTTCCGTGCTTGCAGAATATTTTAATTTTAAATTTATTTTATAATTTATTCATATGAACACATAATTGACTCTAAGACTATATTTGTAATGGGTATTATGCATCTTAATTTTTTGTAAAGTCTATTTAAAATTATTGGCCAAAAATTTTTAAATTTTGTTATTTTAATATTTAAGCGAAATAAATTTTATAATACAAATTTACAAATATACTTAATATACTCATCTTCCAAGATATCTGCCTATAGGATGTTGTACAATTGTAAAGTTTAGTCTTTAAAGTCTGGACCAAGGTACACAAATAATGTCAAATAGTCTCTAATCTGTTTTATAACAATTGAGACTGCATTGCTTAATTAAACGAGTAATGCAGAAGCAGAATTTGCATAGGCTCAATTAGCGTTTGCAGTACTAGCAAAAATCTTCAATAGCAGTACGTTTTGTAGTTAGCTGCAAAAAGCGTTCCATTTTACGGCAAAAAATTTTTTTCTACTTTTATGCTCATAAGCTCAATCAGTAGTGAACTCATAATTGAGAGAGTAGAGAGACATTACTGAGTTTAAAACATTAAGAACCCAACAATATTGAGTAGGCGACCTTAAAATTAGATTCCATATCAAAATTCTTTAAATTCAAAATTTTATTTTAAATTTTCAGTAATTATTAAAATTTTCTATTAATTTTGTTTTTCAGATGTACGCAATGAATTTGGCGCAAAAAGCAAAAGAATTAAAACGTGAAAAACGTAAAAGTGATTCACTTTTATTTCAAATGTTACCACCAAGTGTTGCAACTCAATTAAAACAAACTCAACAGGTGTGTTGCATAATAATAAATTTTTTATAAAATGTTTTTGAAAAAATTGTTGAAACTTTCTTTAATATTTTTATTTATTTTATTGTAGGTACCAGCAGAATGTTATGAAGCTGCAACAATTTATTTTAGTGATATTGTTGGTTTTACAGAAATTGCTGCAGAATGTACGCCATTAGAGGTATAACAACGATACATTTTATAAAAGAAAAAAAAAGCATTTACACAAATTCTCAATGACTAACATGCATCACTTGTGATGAGGTATCTCTCTCTAAACTCTAAAATTTTGAATAGTTTTTAAAATAATAGAATAAATTTTTATATACCAAAAACGGCAATACTTTTGAATGTTTGCGAGAATGTTCCGTCACTGCGAGAGATGCATGTTAGAGGGTTGATTGAATTCTAATTAAATTTTTTCAATTATTTTCTGTAATTTTGTAAATGTTTCAGGTGGTCACATTTCTAAATTCAATTTATAAGGTTTTTGATGAAAGAATTGAATGCTATGATGTTTATAAAGTTGAAACTATTGGTGATTCTTATATGGTTGCTTCAGGTTTACCAGTTAAAAATGGTTTGTATTCAATTATATGGTTTAATAAAATTTCGATTGATTCTTTTTAGAGAAGCTTTAATTCTTTGTTAGTAGCTTAATAATAGCATTTCCTTAATTTTTTACCAATTTTTTTTTTTAAATTAGGTAACAAACATGTAACCGAAATAGCAACAATGGCATTAGATTTACTTGATGCATCAAGTTTATTTAAAATACCTCGACGAAATAGTGAAACATTACAAATACGTTGTGGTGCACATACTGGTCCAGTTGTTGCCGGTATTGTTGGTACTAAAATGCCAAGATATTGTTTATTTGGTGATACCGTAAATACTGCATCACGTATGGAATCGACTGGTGAATCACAGAAAATTCATATAACAGAAGAAATGAATGAAGCTTTAATGAGAGTTGGGGGCTATAAAACAGAACATAGAGGTTTAATTGATGTTAAAGTATGTTTTGAGTTTTTGCGCAAAATTTACAACTTTTTTATATAAAATTTATCAATTTTTTTTTTTTAGGGGAAAGGTTTAATGAGTACATATTGGTTAACATGTAAAGATGGTCCAGTAACTGTAAGAGAAGAAATTTCATGGTATGCAGACATACAACCGGTTTTTTTACAAAATATTAAAAGTGAAAGTTTTAAGAAAAAAGTTTAATATAATTAAATATTGTGTTTTTTATTAAAATTATTGTTAAATTAAAATACAAAACGAATTTTTATGGTATTTAAAAATATTTTAAATTTTAATATTAAGAAAATTAAAAATATGTGAATTGAATAAAAAAAAAATTTTTATTGTAATTAAAATTTAATGGATAAATTAAATGTGTAAATGTTATATTGAAAGTTTTTTTAAATTATTAATTGTATAAGTAAGGGTATTCGGAAGAGAATTTGGTACAGGTTTAGGGGGCATTTGTTAATTTAGAAAAGCAAAATGATTCTCTAAGGACAATATGATAGCAGTTCATATCACGTACCTCATTTCCGATTCTGTCACGAAGTCAGGCACGATTACTTTTCAAGGAACTAAAAATTAAAATTTTAAGTACAACAAGCTTTTCCTAGAATTCTATTCTTGTAAAAAATTTTATAAATAGCAAAATAGCAAATTTAGGTCAATTGCAGAGCATTAATCCACTTATCAAAACTTCACAATTATTTTCAACAAATTTTAATCTATCAAGTATGCATTTATCTGCTTTCATTACCAATAAGATAAAGGGTCAAATTTAAAAGTAATATGGTTAATTATAAAGAAATTAGAATTTAAGTTTTATGAAGAATTTTGATTTTTCATTTGAAATAAATCATTATTTTTGGTTATCTCCGATTTCGAACGGCCGAAATGAATAGTATAAAAGCAAAAGCAAAAAATTAGATTTTATACAGTCGAAATTTGAAAAGCTTCTATAAAAAATTTTATTAAATTGAGAAGAAAATACAAAAAAAAATATTTTCAAAATGCGTTTAATTTTATTATTGGGATTCTTAGCATTTATAACCGCAGTTGTTTGCGAATTGCCTTTCGATGAGATAAAGGACATTGACAATTTCACTTATGCAGAAATTAGTGAAGTAGTAGCCGTCGAAGAATCTAAAGAAAACTCATTTAATTGGAAATGCCATGTAATTTGTACATTACGATGCCGTCAAAGAGGTTATAAGGCTGGTGCCTGTGTTGGAAGATATTGCGTTTGTGTTAAATAAAATGTGGATGACGATTGTTAGAAGTTCTTATATTTACTAATTTATGAAATAAAATTATAATTAAATTATAATACATTTATGTAAAAAAAAAAAAATTATTTTTTTTTATTTAAAGACGGTTATTTTTTTTTTATGATTATGAGACAATTTCTATGTGTAGGCTTTTAGGAGAGGTTCATTTCCCGAGATGCGCTTTCTCTTCAAAGCTCTAAAGAAATAAAATATTTAAAACATTATATTCCTTAGATTTAGTGAAAATTTCAATTCTATCGTATAGATTTGGTAAAAAATCAACGCCTAGTGAAAGTTCTATTTCCGTATCCCGATATATATATATGAATGATTTACTGATTTTAAATATGAAATTTCAGTAAATTGGTTGATTATTTCTCTCTATATGAACAAAAATGTAAATTCGAGCCGTAGAAGAAATTCACTAACACCCGATTTCCTCAAAAAGTTGGATAACACGTTTAATTGTGAGTCGGATCCTATTTATAAAATTTCGGAAAAATACGTTGATGATTTTTTTAAAAATATTTAAGAATATAAAATCGCTCCGTAGTTTGGGATATTTCAATTCGAGAAAGAGTCTCGGTTCAGTCGAACTTGAAAAACTGATTTTCATTTGGTGAACTTAGCGTTTTTTTTTTGGTGGTGTAACAGCACCCAATCTAGCATTGCATATTTCATATTCCGGTATTTTCACCACGCTATATTAAATAAGAGAAAAATTACAGTCCTTTGCAGTTTCCTTGTTTCTTGTGTTAATTTATTAATTACAACATTTACAGCAGTTAATGAAGTGAAGAAGAAAACATTCTTTAATTTTGTTTAACTATTGTTATAAAATTATTAAAAATGCATTCATCTAAGGCACAACAGCTTTAAACCTCAGTTTATTATCATCCTGGAATTTGGAATTTTACAAATGTCTGAAGCAATCCATGTTTCAAATGTTCTTAATTATGAAACTGGTAAAATTAATTCCAAAAATTTTCGTATCTTGGACTTCGCAAACTTGATTACAATGTTGTCTTACAATAAAATAATACGTAAGCATCTCTAAACAAACCCATTTTCTGTAATCTACGGTATTGTGTTGTGTAAAATCCATTGAATCTTCAATTAAAACAATTTCCTATATAATTTTTCTAATATTCTTCAACAATTTTTACTATAGCATTTTAAAAATGTCTTAATATTTTTTCTTTAATATAGTATAGATAATCATTAAAATCTAATCTAATTCCAAAAAAGTACTTATTCCTAAATTAGCTCTTATGCCTTAATTAGAATTTACTTACATATCTAATAATAATAAATGGGTATGCTTTTTTGAACTCAATTAGTAATTTCATTTAAAAGTTTAAAATTAGAATTCGACAAAATTCAGCGTATTCCCTTAAATTTCTCCGGCTATATTGATAAGATAGAGGAGTTAAAGATAGCATTGTTTATATTTTGTTCAAATTTCAATTGTTAATAATAATTTCATAATTATTTTGATTACCCCTCGTTAAGAATTTAATTCAAAAATTTTCTGTCATAACTTTTTGTACTTGGATTAAGTTTTCTAGGGAGGTATAGATAAAAAACCGGTTATTGAATTTGAAAATTGTTTTATTTTTAATTTGAATTGAACTTTATCTGTAAAATAAAAAAACTTGTATGTAAAAATTTAAGTAAAAAATTTATCATATGCCTCACAATTATATTCGACTGTTGAATAGATTCTATATTTATTTTGGCAAGTTTTTTGAGGTTTGAGTTCTTGGAAATCTGTTCAATGAAATCTATGTATAAATGATTTTACTTTGATAATTTTCAGTTACTACAAAATTTTTTAAGTACTTTGATATACCACATGATCAAATTTTCGTAATTTTGTTCTATAGAGCTCTTAATAAGCTTTTTACCAATACTTCAAATTATATTGTGTGACTTTCAACTATCTCATCAAAAAATGCTTAGGTGCTATTATGAGCTTTCAAAATCCTCCAGCTCAAAGCTATTGAGGGAATTCTCCACTCAACATTTTGTTCTAAGCATTTTCCTCCGGATTTTTAGCACTTTTCCAAAAAATTTTTGAAAAAAAAGTGCTTATTAGTTTCACTCTGTCAGTCCGTGGACATGTTTACAAAACTTCTACACCCTTGGAGATAGAAACCTGAAATTTTATATGTACATAAATCTTTACTAGAAACTTATTTCCGTAGAACAAAATTTTTACCTATCGCCCCCATCTAGAAGTTATACCCCCCCCCCCCCCCCCCTTCAAAAACCCTAAAAATGCCATTTTGTAACTATTTGTTGCAGTGAAACCATAAGCATTTTTCAAAATTTGCAAACGCAGAAAGGCAGTGACTTGCTGCTTCTATCACGGCATAAAAAAACAAAATGGCGGTTAAAATTTACTGTTATATGTTGTTTTTCTTCTAGACCCCAGGTCGTGGGAGCTTGAAATTTTAGTAGCTTTTAGGCATTAATAAATGCTTCATTTCGTTAGAAGCAAATTTTTTTCCACCTTCACCCCCTCTCAAGTTATTTTCTCTTGAAATTTATAAAATTTGAATTTTTGACGCCTTATATTTCCGAAACCGTAAGCTTTTTCAAATTTATATAAACGCAAAAAGCTAACGGTAAATTCTATGACATTAAAAAATATAATTGTTTTTCTTAACTAACCCAACTAAGTCTTAAAATCGAGCATTATGTAACACCTCTTTAAATTAATTTTTGCTTTATTTCAAAGACTGTATAAATCATTCATCCTAAATATATGCAATCCTGGAAATAGCTTCATATATGATTGAAAATAATTTTAATAGTGTGGTAGGTATACATAGATTGTTTTTCAAAGCACTATTTTCACTTGTTGAAGGGAAAAGTGCTACAATAGAAACCATTGGTTTGACCCAACTTTATTTATTTGGCGTTCATAATCGGAAGAACCAGAGAAACAGTTATTTCACGAGTTCGTTGCATATAATCTAAAAAAACTGAATTTTTACAGCAATTTAAACATTAAAATTAAATTTTGCCACCTTACATGTAACTTAATTTTTTACATGTCCGGCATTACCACAAAATAAATCAAAGTTTTATTGAAAAAATACGATTACACAACACTAAAGCAACCATCTTGAGTTTAATTTAAAATTAGAAAGGTTACACTTTTCACTAGAAATTATGGAAAAAAAACCAATAAATTTAGTTCAAAGCACTAATCAAATTTTTAGAACTTCGTAATTATCTAAACATAGAACTTCATAATTAATTAACTTCATAATTTTAATCTGTTTTATTGCTTATCAAGTATGCATTTATCTGCTTTATTACCAATAAGATAAAGGGTCAAATTTAAAAGTAATATGGTTAATTATGAAGAACTTAGAATTTAAGTTTTATGAAGAATTTTGATTTTTCATTTGAAATAAATCACTATTTTTGGCTATCTCCGATTTTAAATGGCCGAAACGAATAGTATAAAAGCAAAAGCAAAAAATTAGATTTTATACAGTCGAAATTTGAAAAGCTTCTATAAAAAATTTTATTAAATTTGAAAAGAAAATACAAAAAAAATATTTTCAAAATGCGTTTAATTTTATTATTGGGATTCTTAGCATTTATAACCGCAGTTGTTTGCCAATTGCCATTCGATGAGATAAAGGACATTGACAATTTCACTCATGCAGAAATTGATGAAGTAGTAGCTGTTGAAGAATCTAAAGAAAACTCATTTAATTGGAAATGCCATGTAATTTGTACATTACGATGCCGTCAAAGAGGTTATAAGGCTGGTGCCTGTGTTGGAAGATATTGCGTTTTTGTTAAATAAAACGGATGACGATTGTTAGAAGTTTTTATATTTAATAATTTATAAAATAAAATTGTTACTTAATTAAAATATATTTATGTAAAAAATGAATTTTTTTTTCTAAAAAGCTCTATCTCTTTACTACTCTTATATTTCACATAAACTGTAGATACCAGTATTTCCGGGAAAAAATGATTTTGTAAGTGAAATATGAAATTTTAAGATCATCTGTACTAAGTTCAAATAAACAAACAATCTTATATCGTAAATAATATTAACGTAAATCCTAAAAGTATGCAAAATTTACAAATTTTTTAATTAATTTGAATTTATTCTATAATGAATTGCATTTAGCTATTTTAACTTCCATATTGTTTTCGCTTTAAATTTAGCCTTATATGAATATTTTAATAATACTGACAAAAAACCTATCAAAGTGAAATCGGTTAAGTTTCGTTTGTAATTTTACAAGTGATGTGAGGTATTCACGTCAGAGAAATGCTGATGAATCAAGAAATTGATTGCTGAGATCAAGAAATTTAACATCTTTTTTTTTGGGATATGCGTAAAATATTTTATCTTAATCGGCCATCCCGTTATTCTCAAACATCGTATACAGCTTTCCAATATGACTATTAAATTAAGAACAACTACCGACCGCTTTGTACACAATAAGGGAGGTGATATGATGGCACCAAATTTTTAATATCGAGTTTTTAGTGGGAACGCACTTCTCGATGTGGGGGAAGCGTAAATAAGCTATTTTTATAGAGATGACGGCTTGTCGGTCTGTAGGCCGATTTTACATTTTTTATCATATCTGCGGAACTAAATGACGGAAATTGTTGAAATTTAATTTTTGAGTTCTGTTTGCTACTTGAACTAACAGACTTCAGGGGTGTGGGATGGCATAAACTGACACTCTTCTAAGAGCCTAATTCACATTTCAGGAATATTAACTAACAGTTTATTAGCGTCCTTAAAACTTAAAAGAAACACAATTTACACCTTGCTTGTTAATTGCTATAGTTTGTTGTCAGTCAAAAAGTAGATTGTAAGAACTGTTAAGTGGTTTTTTTAAATCACTTTAAATTTTTGGCCATATTATGTAAAAAAATACCACAAACACATTATTTAAGAAAAAGTGAAACAAAATTTTTAATTTGGGATGTCAAATTTT